GTCAAGGCTTTTTCCCTCTACATGAATGCCCTTGAGTATTTCCGCACCCATCTCAAGTACGAGAAGAACCCCAAGATCAAAGAGGCTATCACCCAGAAGTTCACCGAGTACCTCCGCCGCGCGGAGGAGATCCGGGCCGTGCTCGACGAGGGCGGCTCCGGGCCTGCTGCCAACGGGGACGCGGCCGTAGTCGCCAGGCCTAAGACCAAGCCCAAGGATGGGGACGGCAACGGCAACGGCGGCGAGGACCCTGATCAGGCGAAGCTCAGGGCCGGGCTTACCTCCGCTATCATAACAGAGAAGCCCAACGTGAAGTGGAACGATGTCGCCGGTCTTGAGAGCGCCAAGCAGGCCTTGCAGGAGGCGGTGATCTTGCCAGTCAAGTTCCCCCAGTTCTTCACTGGTTTGTGTTCTGTTGCCATCTTTGAAAATGTAGCTGTAATCGATGCAATCCTAACAATTCATTTGAAATTCTGAATTAAAGAATCCATTTGTAATGCTGACAATGAGAAGGTGTTCTAACAATAAATTCATTTGAAAATTGAAACATATCTAACTGGTAATTCCTAATGATCCTTTTGGATTGAGAGAATTGAAGCGACTAGATAAGACCATTGCCTGTATTTTAGCTATGTTTCTCCTATGGCCATGGCCCAAGCGGTGTTAGTCGTTTATTGTGAGATGTACATCGAATCGATCGGTATGGTACAGGAATAAACTTGAGATATGTATTTTCAATGGTAATAATTAGGTTTTTGGTGGCTTCTGTTTTGTTGCTTTATTTTGTGGATTAAGCCTCTTATATATACATCTGTTGTGGTTCTTTACTTTCTCAATTTAATTTTTCTTAACTAATTTGAAACCATTCTTTTTTTGCTTGAATTGAAAACCAATTGATCAGAAAAATCCTTTGTTTACTTGTAGGAAAGAGAAGGCCATGGAGGGCATTTCTTTTGTATGGTCCACCAGGAACTGGAAAGTCATACTTGGCAAAGGCTGTTGCAACCGAGGCTGAATCAACCTTTTTCAGGTTATTTTCTATCAAGAAAATATGGGTCAATTGAACTGTTGAAAGAGAGGAACAGAACTCTATTCTAGCAGTTAGTATTCATGTAATCTATGTTTTATTGTATTCGTCCTTCCTTTTTTTCTTTTCTCGTGGCGCTTGTTGTTTATACATTTCCCCTCCCATTCTTTAGAGTGTTTGTTTTCGGGACCACTATCCCTCATTGCAAGCCAGATCCTATGGTCTGAGCCTTTTGAGCTAAATATGTTGCTCTATTTTGGAGGAGAACTTGCTTTAAAGCATTACATTTCTGAAATGATTTGTTTTGCTTCTTATAGTATGTTCTCCTTTGGAACTTGCCAGTTTCTTATATTTCACTTGAGTGATGCATTTTGTGTTTGCATGCTCAAGGAATATGAAAAAATAGTTGGCTTGCTTATGTGACTAGTGGTTAATCGCCCAATATCTTTTTTTAGTTAAATTAGATGCATTTGAAAACAATATTAATGCTTCTGTTAGACTTGCAGTATTATTTACCTACATTTTACCTAATTATTGTCAGTAATTTAAAGCATAAGTATCTGAACAGTGCAAGGATGTTTACAATTGATTGAACTGTTGCAGTATATCTTCATCAGATCTAGTCTCAAAATGGATGGGTGAAAGTGAAAAGCTAGTTTCCAACCTTTTCCAAATGGCTCGTGAAAATGCTCCTTCGATAATTTTTATCGATGAAATTGATTCTTTGTGTGGTCAGCGTGGAGAAGGCAATGAAAGTGAAGCCTCTCGGAGAATTAAGACAGAACTTCTTGTGCAGATGCAGGTAACTTTTACACAATATGTGTTGAATGTGGATCTTCTCCGAGTCTTGATTGTCGAGGGTATAGAGCATAATAATGTTTTTTATTTGTGATCATGGTAATATCTCTTTCTATATTACAAGTCTCTGTTGGTAGTGTAGGGTAACTTGACAAAGGAATCATTGGAGCTGCTAGGTTGTTCAAGTGGTCTATGATCTTCTTTTATCCTTTTGCTATTAAGTATTCTGGTCCACATTGGACTGGCCAGACATTGTACGAATACGGTATATTGGTATGCACTAGTTTCTTGACTAACAAACACAAGCAACAAACAAAAGAAAAAGGAAAAAAGGAAAAAAAGAAGAATAGAGCAAGAAAAAAATGAAAATACTCCAAGCTCCTCTTCTACTCTGCAAGATGGGGTTTTGGCTGCTACCAATCTTGTCGAACCAAAGGAGATCGGAGCTAGGGCATTAAAATCTATTGATAGGGTTAAAAACACTGGGCCAGGCTCTAAAACTTCCCGTAAACTTGCCTATGAGTGGTTTTGCACGTATACCAGTTACTTGCTCGGGTCAGTGTATACCTACCTGTCAGTGCAGTTGGGGCCGATGAATGTTCAAATCCTTGGTTAACAATGTATTTTATATTCTTTTTGTGCACATAATACTTCTAAAACAAAAAAAAGGTAAATCTGAATAGTATCTATTTTTTGCTGTTCCAGACAGTTAGATGCTTGACATTAGAATACAAATTGAAACTGGAAAATGTGGCTGTCTTGTATCGCCCACTGTTGTGACCTATGCTATGTATGGTTCTGTTATTGCAGGGTGTAGGAAACAATGATCAGAAAGTTCTTGTTCTTGCTGCCACAAATACTCCCTATGCTCTTGATCAGGTCGTTGGCGTAGACACTTTTACTATTAGTTGTTGCAGCTAATTTCTTTTATAGTCTTCAGAACCATCATTTATAATCGTTTGTAATAGTGAAGCACAGGCTATCCGACGGCGTTTTGACAAGCGGATTTATATCCCTCTTCCTGACCTAAAAGCCAGACAACACATGTTCAAGGTATTGTAAATATGACCAGAACACTGCTGGAAGTCCCAAGGATCAATTAGTTGGCAGCATTTCATGCTCCCTGTTCTGTGGCATAAAATCTCAGTAATAGAGAACTCATAAAGCTCTTATGCTCCAATTATAGGTACATCTGGGAGATACCCCTCATAACTTGACTGAGAGCGACTTTGAGAGCTTAGCTCGTCGAACCGAAGGATTTTCTGGTTCGGATATCTCTGTTTGTGTAAGTGGTCTTTGGTGAACTCTTAGGGGGTTAATCTTGCAGGGATCTGAATCCGTAATGTTTTCTTGCTTTGTTCCAAACAGGTCAAGGATGTGCTTTTTGAACCAGTTCGGAAAGCCCAAGATGCCATGCATTTCTACAAGACTGCTGATGGCCTGTGGATGCCGTGTGGGCCAAGACATCCAGGAGCCATTCAGACCACATTGCAGGAGCTCGCTGCGAAAGGTCTTGCAGCCAAGGTGCACGATCTGGCTATCATTCTGCTCTCTAGTTCGTTTGGTTATCTTTGGCATATCATGTTTATTTCGAGCAACTGAACAGATCCTTCCACCGCCGATCTCAAAGACAGACTTCGATAAAGTACTGGCCAGGCAGCGGCCGACCGTCAGCAAAGCTGACCTTGAATTGCATGAGAGATTCACAAAGGAGTTTGGAGAAGAGGGCTAATGCATGAGGTATGTGATGGTACGTTGCAATCCTCAGAGATTGTTTGCTCCATAAGAACTCTACATGATGTTACCGGGATTTACTTTTTCTGGTGTTCGCTTCACAGCAGCCTTCTAAATAAGTGTTCTGGTTTGTACCCCTGGTGGCCTTTGGTGCCACCCAACTGTCCAAATTAGTCAGCTCTTTTGTACATGTAATTTCTGTGATCCTTATGATATGAACTTTGCCTCTTTTTTTTTTGGCGCAACAACCCTTGCCTTCCCCATCTATTTTTCCTCGTCCGCCTGTATGATGCTTTCGTGCGAGAGGTTTCTGTTCTTAGATCTCTTGGTATTCTTTGAGTTCTTGCCGAAGCTTGGATCTGTATCTTGGGGCTGCTTCAGTATCATCATTGAGCACATTTAATATTTGCTGAGCTCGTAGTAAAGCTTTAAATTGGATGCTTTTTGGACATAATGTTTGTTTTTTGCACCCCACCCAAATGACTTGGCAATTTCGTGAAGTACTCGCCACTTTTCTTTGAACTGCAGCAATAGCTGCATGGTTTAGACTCTTGACCTTCGTTGGGAATGATCATTGCTTCTCTCACCTACTCCCACCTTCATGAGATACTTTACAATTTCAAGCAGTCTTTTTCTAATAATAAATTAACATAGTCTTACGTGTTTATCAGCAGGGATTCTCACAGGTCAATATGGGAAGTGGAAGCTTTAAATTTGTGCAAATATCACATCTTAAATAATGGGTGGAAATATTGAGACTTGCCCACATGATTGTTATGCTCAAATATAATCCAAGTGGCAGTGAATGGTTGATGACTTGAGAATGAAGCTGGATAGCATGTTTTGATCCCATTAATATGATCATCCATAGGGAGACTGACTGACTCCAAGCAGTCAATTGGCAAACTCCCTCAGACAATTTACTAATATATTTCTTTCTTAAACAATATTTTAGCTGGAACGCACGCCACAACATAGTTTTGTCCCAGTGCTTCAAATCTATACTCCATATCTTTCTCTCTACTCACGTCATCACCTTCTCTGGTCTTCATCTACAATCCTGCCTTCTTCTTCCAAAGCATCTTAAGGCTGCAGCGGCCTCGGAAGAGTGCGGTGGTCGATCCTAATAAGAGGAACCACAAGTCATGCAGCAGTTTGTGGATCTCCTCTTAGCATTCGGACTTGATTTGGCATATTTATCAAGGCAAATAAAGTGCCTTAATCGTTTATTAACAGATATTAGTATAATGGGTATAAGAGAAGAACCATGATTAAGTGCTCTTGCCCGGCATGCATGCAGTGCAACAACACGATTCATGGCTTCTGCATGTATCAATCAGTCTTAACAAGCTTTAACCTTATCCTGTGTTGTTACTCTATGGGCTGAAGAGGATAGTTCAACCCTGCAAGCAACCTTCTTAATCATCCAAGCCGAAGAAAGACCAATGAACCTTCTTATTCCGAGTGCCAAGTCTTCTTCCCGGTGGAACAGTCAACGAGGGGCGCAATCGTAATAAGATAATATACAACAAAGAATAGGAAGGAGCAAGAGTCAATGGTTTGCAGATTACTTCTTCTTCCACTGGTCTCTTCTTCGGCCTTGGATAGATCATGGCGAGCGGCGGCAGTGTTGTGGTCACCCCGGTGGCCGTAGCGTCTCCCGCAGGCCAAAACCACCACTTATACCACTACCTCTCTCCGTTCACCGCCACCACCACCACCACTCCCTCCCCTTACGTCAACTCCTCGACCTCCGCCGCCCACTGGATTTCGCGGCCGTCCCTCCTGCGCCACCTCAACCTCCTTCTCCGTCTCCTCGGCTTCGTCCTCTCCTTCGCCTCCTCCCTCTCCCTCGCCCTTCCATCTCCCCAGAAAGCCAGTGGCAGTCGGCGACCCTTCAGCTTCCAGCACCACCCCGAGTTCAGGTCTCACCTTCCTCTCCTCTTCTTCTCGACACGATCATCGAGATACAAGAACTGACGTTGTTTGGTCCGATCCAAGGTACTGCATCGTTGCGACGATCGTCGCTTCGCTCTACTGCGCCCTGCAGCTGTTCAAAGGCATATGGAATATAGCTTCCAAGGGATTCCCTGTTCCCGAGAAAGTCTCAGACTACATCACCTTCGTCTGGGACCAGGTAACACCACAAGTAGGTTTGAGGACTCCGATCTGATGCACTGCTTCTGAAGCTCTGCTTTCTTTGGCCAACAGGTCGTGGCTTACCTTCTCATGTCTTCCTCCTCGGTGTGCCTGCTTGCCACCCAACTCAATACCCCGAGTAGGTTCCGAGCCGCAGCTATCGTTTCCACTACTGCTTCTTTTGCGGCCTTTCTTGCCGTTGCCGCATCGGCTCTGCTCGCGGGTTACAGGCTCTGCAAGAGGATTATATGGTGATCTCTATACACAGGAAAAGGACGATCGCACTGACAAAACGAGAACGGCAACCAAACGACATGTTCTTATTCCTGGAAACTGGAGTTTTATGTAATTAATGTAAAATGAATTGAGATTAACAGTGAAAGTATATAATTATGTGCTCGGGAGGTTGATAGATTTTAAGACAGACTTCTGATTAATTGATGGCTGTTCAGCACATCTTATTGGCATATTCAAGTCCTATATATATATATATATATTTATTTATGTTTGTGTGTGTGTGTATATATATATATATATATATATATATATATAACCATGTAGTTGCTGAACTCTTTATGACCCGCTTCTTCCGAATTCTTATCCGGTTGTTGATTCTTGAAGCACACGTTCCTTTCTTTACTTCTCCCCCTTTGATTTGATTGAAGCTGCTACGTATGGAGTTGAGATTGTGGTGCTGTTCGTTCGTTGGTTGAAGGAGTTGAAGAATCAAGGTCGTCTATGTTTCCCCTTTGATTTATCCTGTTAATCGCTGGATGTATATGCGACCCTATGTGCTTCGGATAAGAATTAGGCGTTTGTTTTCTTGTAGGTTTTATGTCAAGCATGTGGTGGGTGCTTCTTCTTTCGAGGGTGGGGGGGGGGGGGAAGAAACCATCCTGTATAGGGGACTGGATTCTGATGAGCTCATATTAGACTAAACCTCTTTCTGCTTTGCAAACATGTCTCTGTATTCGTTATCACTGGATGCAGTTCTTGAATTGAGATTCACCTCCTTGCTTATGAACAGTCACCTGTTCATTGGATTTGGGCAGAACACTTTTGTTTTTTTTAATCAGAGTACCCCTGGCATGCTCTTTTCATCCATTCGTTGTCGAATTCCAACATATCAACTTTGTTTGTGGCCTGTATTTTTGGCGAGGAAAGCATCTCATGCTAGGTGTTGAGTGATTAATCATATGCCAACTAAGATATCTAGTGCAATTTGTGGATTAGGTTTCTCAGTTTAGATCCTCTAGGGATTCCATTCCAAGTTGTAAAATATTCTGCTGTGGGTTCAGCGGTTCAAAGGTGGTCTTTGAGCTTGTCCTTCCATGTCAATAGAGCTGACTGCATAGCAGGGTTCTCAAAGAACAACATTGTGCCGTAAGAGTTCTCAAAGCACAGCAGTTCAGTGTTGCTTTACCTCGTCTTACTTTTTGTTAAGGTATGTTACCCCATCATCTATAGGATTAATTTTCCAACTTGGCTCCCTTTTATGGACCTCTCAGATTTTTCTCATTTGAAGCTGAAATTTGATCTCATCGATCGAAAAAGATCAGAACACAAATCACTAGGATTAACCAACCCTTTTCCTTTTCAACTTGAATGATGACATTTTTTATTGGCTGTATTGAAGGTTGACCTCCTCAATGAGTCTATTCTGATAGATGTTAGCTCATGATTATCAAAATATATTTCTTCTGTTTTAAATACTTTAACTGGGGATGTGAAATGCAAGAAATGTGATTTATACAAGCAGAACATTCATGATTTGTTGGTAACCTGCTTAATTCTCTCAATGCAATATATGATCAAGTGTTGTTGAGTGAGCCATGGAATGCCTGTCTCTAATAAAGCTTCATCGAGTTGTTATTTTTAGGATTCCTCTCGAGGACATCAAGAATCAGCAGGATATCTGCACCTGAAGCTGCTTGATTATGTTGGAACTCAATAATGTATAATCTAATAGTGGTTGTATCGAGAACACATGCCCATTTGGATTTCTGGCCTCCCATCTTTTGGTGCATTCTTTATCCTTCTTCGAAGCAAACTTCAAACAGGCTCGACACAAGAGCTTATGGATGCATTTTGATGCAAGAGTGGAGTGCCATTAGTTCATAAGCATGACACTGTGAAAATATGCTTTGTGACCTTTTTCTCTACGAGGGCTAACTAAATTTTCCTCCCGAGATTGATTATTTGTGTGATTGGGGCTGGTCTTGTTTGCCAAATACAAAACTATTTGCACCAAAGGAGGTCCAAGAAAAAATGTCATGGAGCTGCTGTTGATCTCTGTTCTGCGTAGCTTGGTAGATTAGCTTTTCGGTTAGTTTTCTTCTGCTAGGTGCACCTAAGTTCCAATTCCCTTGCATTCCATCATTGCCGTACTAAAAGATCTCTTATGATTATGCTTGTTGCAGGACACATCTTGGTGCTGCCATTTCCAGGTGTTTTTCTTGGCTTTCTTACATGTCCAAGTGTTGAATTGACTGATAATGCATCGCCAGTTGCAGGATGAACCATGCATGTCACTTGATTACTCTGTGCAAAAGAGCCTCGGCTGTTGGAATGGAATGGGTTCCAGTAAGGACTAGTACTTGAATGGATGGTCGAACAAAGGTAAAGATCTGCTGGTGCATGTGCTTCTCATTTTTGATGTTGAACTGTTGCAAGAGACAGAGTGGAAAGATGCATGCACACAACTATGTTGCAATAGGGAGATGCAGCTGATGGTAAGCAGCAGCAGTTGACATTCGAGTAGAATGTCAAGCAAAGCAATTTATACGTAGACCGACACAGGTCTCATGGCAATCATTGGCACGTTAGATCAAACTCAGCATTGATGTGTTCTTGCCACCAAAACCTGGTCCTGTTGTTGATGCCACTCATCATGTTTGTTGATACCTCTCTCGACTGTTGATGGAAGAATTTGTGGGATCCAACACAAATCTGATGGATACTTTTTCTTTTATTTATACCCTGTTTGCATCCATGGTTCTCTGCAAGAAACTTTAGCCGGTCTACTGCTTACTGTTTGTTCGATCGAGTTCATTTTAGACTGCCCCTAAAACATTGTTCTGATATATTTACTTTTTTATTTATATCATATTTAAATCGACAGTTCAGTGTAGAAAACTTTGGCCAGCCTACTGTTTATTTGTTCCGAGTTCAGTGCACCTGAAATCTTTTTCTGCTTAGATTGTGGTGGGATGATATCGATGATGACCGGATTAGTTCGACTGGATTGAGGTTGGGTGCCTGTGGACTTTAAGAAGATTGGGGTTGGGTTGGTTTTTCTATGCAATACACTAAAGTTTGTAATGAAACAGACTATTTGAGTAAATAGTGATTGGTATCGATTACTATTTTACAATATGGATAGAATATTTCTCTAACATTTTATATTGAGTTGATGTTTGTGTGGACTGATTATTGATCGGAGCTATATCCTCCTGAGTTATCAAGTGATAAGTTTTGATTTGATTGGACTGGATAAAAATATTTCATAATATGGGCGCCTTTAGTATTTTATATTACATAAATGTCTAATATATTAGATCGAGAATATTTTTCTTATCAATTTGAAATGATAGATTAAAATATAATCATATAATTATCTTAAATGAGAATTGAAAATAATAATAATAATATTATATATATTTTTTAAAAAATTGATAATTTGGCTGTAAATATTTTGATAGAAAGATAAAAAAATTGATAATTTGGCTGTAAATATATTAATCCAAACTTAGATCAGATAAAACTTGTGAGTGCGATCATCCTCTTAATCTAATCACTTGGAAGCTTCCAAATACCACACCGGCCATGCAAGACAGCTAACAATCTAATCACACATCGACTCGCAACCATTTCTATAACCCCAACAGAGTACCACCACCAATTTGACCCACGATTGACCGAGGGCCCCACTCGATTGACAATGGTATTTGCGTCTGATTTCCCCGAGTCAACGCCACTAGTTTAGCGCTACCGTTCTCTTGGACTCGGTTATTGGAGTCACATCAAACCCTTCTTGGACTCGGTTATTCACCGGAAACCGCTGCGTCTCGCAATGCGAACTTGGATGCGATGTGATGTTGCGTGGTAGCTGGGCATCGTAAGCTTTTTGGGAAGGTGACCCAACCTTGGCTTGAGATTTCTTGGTTCATCCATTTATTTTGACTTCGGATTGAATCTGGTGAAAGACGGGAAAAAGGTGAAGGTGGAGGGCATCTTTACTTCTCTTCCTGCAAGCAAAAGGGCAATGGGATGATGATGAGTAGCTGCTGCTGCTGCTGCTGATTAGATTGACCTTTTCTTTTTACTACCTCCCTTTATGCTCGAGAGGTATAAAGAATTGGTAGCCGTCGGTTTCGTTCTTCTCTTACTTGCTCCGCTTGATACTTGGAGTTTGGTGGAAGAATCGGGGCCGGAGAGGGAGATCGGTTCTTTCAGATGGGATGCGCCCACAGCACCTTCGGCGACGACGACGGCGGCGGCAGCTGCATGGGCGCCAGAGATGGCCGGCCGCTTCCTCCTCCTGCGCGTGAGCTGGTAAATGCGGGATCTTCTGGGGAGAAAGTGGCGTGGAGTTCGACGAGCCTCATCTTCTCGGCGGCGGGCGTCGTCCGGAGGGGGAGGGGGAGGTGGCGGCGGCAGCGGAAGAGGGGGGAGGTGGAGAACAAGTCCTGGTTGCTTGCAGAGGCCCGAGCGGAAGCGGAGGCGGCGGCGGCGGCCGACCCGGGGTCCGTGCACTCGTCGTTCCGCTTCAGCTTCGGCTCACAGACGGAGGCCGAGGAAACCATGGAGAATGCCGCCACTCCGACGGCTACCGCGGTGCTGCTTCTGGTGAGTTTGGAGGACGAGGGGGACCGGTTGGGCAATGGGGACGCCCATTCCAACAAACGGCGGCAGTGGCAAGGGCTGGAGGTTTTGGAGAGGAGCATTTCATCCGCTGCTGCAGATTTGGTGAGATTCAGCTACTCCGAGATCCGGTCGGCCACTCGGGGCTTCTCCAAAGGTACCAATTTGCCATTGCTTTCTCTCGATTGTAGCCTGGCTTGCTTGCATTGGGTGGGCGACAAACGTTCTCCGGCTAATACCAGGAAGGGAGCTCGGCATGGGCGGCCTCAGTCGGGTGTATAAGGGAAGAATTGGGGCAAGAAGAAAGGCCGTGGCGATAAAGCGGGTGGAGGGGCGGGATCGAGACAGTGCAAAGGCCTTCTGCAGGGAGCTGATGATAGCAACCTCTCTCCGCAGCCCCTTTGTCGTCCCTTTGCTCGGCTTTTGTATTGATCAAGAAGGAATTTTCCTTGTCTACAAGTATGTCTCGGGAGGAAGCCTCGATCACCACCTCCATCGCCAAGGTACTATCCTTTTTCCTCGCAACAGGTTGTGTGATGGAATGTTAATGAATGTGTACCTTTCCGACTAAAATTGGTACTCAATGGTTGACATGGGGAGCACAGAGAAGAAGAAAGGGAGGGGGAAGGTGCTGTCATGGGAGGTGAGGTATAAGGTGGCAATGGGGATAGCACATGCGGTGGAGTACCTACACTTCGGCACTGATAGGTGCGTTATTCACAGAGACATCAAGCCCTCCAACATCCTCCTCACCTCTAACAACGCCCCCAAGGTGAGCTGTTTTCTTAATTTACGTTCCTTAAGAGTTCTCATCGAGTTGATCTTTGGCCTTGTTGGTTTGCTGAGTTGATGAAGTTACATCGATCAGAAGTTGCTAGCTCATCACCTGCATGCCTAAATCTTTATCTTGCCCAGTGAACTTATTTCTGCGAATCCTTTGGAATATGCATTAGAAGTGGAATACTTCAAAGTTATAAGCTGCTCTTTTCTTCCAATGAGAAAAAAGATGCATATTGAATGGCTAAATCATCGTTCCAGAATAAATTCCCATCCTGGTTGTATATAGCTAAATTATACTTATAGTTCATCATTTGTGAAATGCTTTGTTAAACAAAAGAAAAAAAAAGAGAGTGAAGAATAGAGATCTTGTTGGGAAAGTGCATATCTGTTATATGCTATTTTTGTTGAAACTTATATAATATCACCTGCTTGTGCTGGTCCAATGCAGCTTTGTGATTTTGGATTGGCTACATGGACGCATGGACCTTCTGTACCTTTTCTCTGCAAGTCGGTCAAGGGAACCTTTGGGTAAAAATATAGTTATTGAACCTCAGATTTCTCTTTCTAAAAAGATGTGTTTAAGATTTACTAGTTTTCTCTTTTCTTGTGGCTGCAAGTGCAGTTATTTGGCACCTGAGTACTTCCAACATGGTAAGCTGTCAGATAAAACCGATGTGTATGCATTTGGGGTTGTACTCTTGGAATTAATCACCGGGCAGAAAGCGATTGATCGGAATAGGCCTCAGGGAGAGGAGAATTTGGTCTTATGGGTAAGTAATCTCAGCTCATCACTGTGTTATTGCTGCTGTACTTGTTCTAATTATCCTATAAATTACCATCAAAATTTGAACCTTAACTCACTGCAGGAAAGAAGGTATATGCTTGTATATGATTTTTGAGTCCCTCGGTTCATATTGATTATCTACAATTTGAGCACTTAGAAAGTTTGGAAGTTTTATATACTAAGCTCATTGTAAGGTTGAATGTCTATATCAATTTTGATCAATTGCAGAAATGAGAAATTCATTGATCTGCACTGATACACATCTACATCTTTCTCACCTAAAGGTTATTCCTTTGTCGGCCATAAATTGTTGTACACCAAACTATCTGCACCAAAGGTAAAAAAGAATTTCCAACTACAAGAAGGCATGTGATTTCAGGGCTTCTTGACCAGATATGCTTCTCACTTTCACATTATTTCTGTTCGTGCAACAAATGACCTAAGACAGACTTCTCAAGAAGAAATGAATCAGCTACTAATAGAACAGTTGCATGTACCATGTGCTTTATAAAATATGATCTATTTGGTGGATAGTCAAGACAAGGAATAAGGAATTATTGGTTTAAGATTCATTCTCTGTAGGAAGAGATGGTTTTGGAAGTGCCTAAGAAGGTGAACAATGATTTATCAACTGAGAGTTAAATGGCATAGTTTGGGGAGTTTGATTCTATTGAGTTTGGTTTATGGTATTAAAGATAACTGGACTAAGCTGGAGCATGTATAAATTAATGAGGGTGTGAGCATTTTGTAGATATTATCACTTGAGAGAAGAGATATCTAAGGTCCTTTTATGTGATTCTTCATGTAGTTGATGTAGAAGGTACAGGAGATGTATATTGCATTTCCAGACATACAGTTGAGATCTGCATAGTCATAGTACAAATTTTGTTGGTTGATTAACAATTCTATTTAGGATATCAGACATGACGTAGAAAAGTCTGAGATCGAAACTATCACTTACAACAATTAGGTAAAACAAATGGCTCACAAGTTCTTACAAAATTATTATTATTGTACTTCAATTCATGGAAAAGACTCGACTTGATAAGATTGTATAAATGAAACATGAGGACAATGTCAGGGAGATGATTTAGATTTGTGCTAATAAGATTTTGTGATCTTACCAAGCCTGAGGAGAATTTGTTGGAATATTCAAGGGTCTTGCGGAACATATATTGGGCAAGGTAATATTACATGCAGAAAATTTATTAGCTGCTTTTGGTAAAGGAACTGACCTTTTTTTTTTTTTCGGAAAAAAAGAAATTATATTACTTCGAAAAACCTGATACAAGGTAAAACTGTGCTCCTCGGAGCACAAAATTCAACCAAAATCTGTTGGCCATTATCCCCCCCAGTTAAAACATCCATACATTTTCAATGATCGAGGATATGGGTCAACTAGCAGCGTTTTCTTTGAAATTTCTGCTTAAACCAAACTAAAGTTGTTGTCTATGTTATGCATCTCTACACAAGCACAAGCATTTATAGACACAAACATATGATACAACAGTGTCATATGAAAATTGAAAATATGCAATTCCATATGACATGCAAATTATAGTTGAACACACCCCATGTACGAGATACTAAATAATGTGATCTTTAAGCAAACAATTAACAATGTAGCATTGATAATGAACTAAAAATATTGGTATATGATAAACTAAAAAACTGCCATCCGTGGGTTTTTAGCTGTAGTCGTAGTAAAAAAACTCACCTACTTTGTTTACATCAGCATAAACCTACACAAAATTCTATATTGGATGGATAGTTGCATATTTCTTTGGATTTTGGTTTGATTTTTACTATTTGGTTATTGTTATGTGTACCTCTGTGCAATTACTTGGGTTTCTACCACACTTTTCTCACCTGCTTTTCTCCTACCCTGGATATGATTTAGTTGAGATGTTCTTGATTGAAATGACAAACTCTGTGATTCACTTGTCTCAATCTCCTCTTGCAAGCAACAGATAACTTTACATAATGGCATTTCTAGTATTTTTCTGATCAAATATTAATTCTCTTAGTATTCTCAGTTTAGATACCCAGGCTAATTGTTCTGGTGAGTTTTTTCCACGTGTGTTCAACTTGAAACTTGCTGTAAATTGTCTTAGGTTCCGAGCATATGATGCTAGAAAATAATATAGTAGGAAGCAAGCAAAGATACCAGTAGCAGCAACATAATTGTGAAATATGAAATTTGCTAGGCAACAGGGAAGTAACATCTCAATTCGCGCTTTTACATTTTTCATCTATAGTCATCAGGTACTTTCAGTGTATCGGAGTCAGACAATTTTACGCATCATGATGAGGTATTTAGTGCAAATGGACTCTCTCTCAGCATGCCATGCCGGTCCCTTCAGACATGCATCATGTTGTTTCTCTTTTATATGCCTGCTTAGGCTCTTTTTCTTAGCCAGCAAAGTATTAATTTATCTCGTAGACACATGCCTCCACCTAGACTCGAAGAAGATCTTTGAAGTGGCTTTGGAGATGTCTCATGCCAGGTATTACACCATTCATTGTTATCATGCCCTCCCCAGTTGCAGGAAAGGCTTCGATGTCTGCTGTTCTTGTAATATCTAAATGTGCTTTCTTAATTACCCTCTATGCGAACTACTAGTTTCTAAGATTCTTAATGATGTTGCTCTGAATTCTCGAGTATATGCAGGTCGCATGTTGTGTTCTTTCTTAGTTCAAACTGCAAATTTAATTGTATGCATGTTGCATCAGTGGAGTTAGGATCCATGGACAGAGCTTGCAAGGATTTAGGCAATTTCCTGGTCCATCAGAGAGAATAAAGCTTTCTTGCTTGAATGCTTTTTTCTGCAAGCTTATTTATGAGGACGTGTGTTTGGCAGGCAAACCCTCTGTTGCGGCAAGGCACCATGGCTGCTGGAGAGTTGATCGATCCCAGATTAAAGCCTGGATCTTATCGTCCGAGTGAGATGAGCCGGATGATTCATGCAGCCACAGCTTGTCTCAACAGCGAAGAAACAGGGAGGCCAAACATCCTCGAGGTAATCGGAATGCTGCAAGGAGAAGACGCCTGCAGCGACTGGTCCATGCTCATGGCCAACGGTTGCCTGACCGGTTATGGAGCTCGGTCTCACGACGCATCGGCGAAGAGCGATATGAGTAGTCATCTAGCTCTGGCCATGCTCGGTGTTTCGGACGAGGAAGAAGACTTGTACGATCGATGATAATAGATGGGTCTCTTCTTGATCAGTGATCACATGGAGCGGCTCATGAATGTACATGCATTGTTGTATGAACGGACTGCTGGAGAGTTGCATTTGTTTCTTGTACAAACATCATGTCGTTCGATTTAGCTCAAAGCCAAAGGACAAGCCTCGTAAAGAAATTGACACAACGCCATCCATCATTAACTCGACCGAGCTAATCTATCTATGATGGGCCAATAGAAGGTGACTTCTTTGATCCCCACGACGCGGCCGGTTATCCAGTCTGGTCACAAAAGATAAGGTCAGGACTGGTGGCTTCGGTTCGGTTCAGCATCGTCTCGTCTCTCCTCCCCCCTCGGATAGCCATGGCTTCCATCTTGGGATCTCCGGCTTTCCTCGCTCGCCCATTGACAAAGCCGCAGCTCTCGTGCTCGCAAACGCCCCGCTCTCAGCAACCGATCCGATCCCAACCGGAACCCTCGGCGCAGCCTTCATCCCCTCCTACTCCTCCCCCTCCCCCTCCGAAGCCTCAGCAGAAGCCGAAGGTCGCCGCCGAGTCCACCGACTGGATAGCCTCCAGCCTGACCAGGCGGTTCGGCCTCGGCGCCGGCCTCGCCTGGGTCGGCTTCCTGGCTTTCGGGGTCGTCTCGGAGCAGATCAAGACGCGCCTGGAAGTGTCTCGAGAGCAAGCGAACACCAGGTCTGTACTCCCTCCACTTCCTCATTTCCTTCGATCACGACATGTAGTAGTACCGCTTCGACTACGATTGCTTTCTTATGCAGAGTGGTGGAGAAAGAGGAAGAGGTGGTGCTTCCGAATGGCATCAGGTATCGAGCTCTGAAGTAAATCCAGAAGAGGAGTAGAGTGGGCCTAGGCTTGACAAGGTAGTATCGCGTCTCCAGGTACACCGAGTTGAGGGTCGGCGGCGGGGCTTCGCCGAGGCCAGGAGACTTGGTGGTGATAGACCTCCAAGGGAGGGTGGAGGGCAGCAGCGACGCGTTCGTGGACACGTTCGGGGAAGGGAAGAGGCCGCTGGCGCTGGTGATGGGCTCCAGGCCGTACACCAAGGGGATGTGCGAGGGGGTGGAGTACGTGCTGCGGTCGATGAAGGCCGGAGGGAAGAGGAGGGTGACCGTGCCTCCCGTTCTGGGCTTCGGAGACGACGGTGCCGATCTGGGGGCGGGTCTGCGGATACCTGCTTCCGCCACGCTCGAGTTCATCGTGCAGGTCGATAAGGTCTCCATTGCGCCTTCTTGAGCTCGGAGGATCCACCCTGTGGATTCAGTTTTGGGTGCTCACCAGTGGCTTCGATTGCTATTTCTTCGTGCCCCGACTTGAAATAGCCCTTCTAATTCAAACAATTTATTCGTTGGATTGTTATATGCAGTACTCATTAAATCAAAATTACACAAAATTGCATGTATATGTATTCGTGTTACTCTCTCAAAATCGGATCTCCATCGATTCCTGTTGGAGTGATCTGTGATGATGGTAAAAAATTGAAATATATTTAAAAGTATTTTATATTCTTTGATATGATCGAATGGGATATTTCCAAATTTCTAGGGGTAAATGCGGTAGTTTTCGAACGGACAAGGATAGATATGTAAATGAACTAAGAAACGTAGACCAGGCCTGCTTGCGGGCCCAATCTCCCGAGCGAGCGCGGCCTCTTTTCCTTTCTTTGCGTAAATAAATAAATAAATAAATATTAAATTATATATTCCCTTCCCTGCCCTTCCCTCCCTCTTAACCGATCGAAACCACGGAAGCAATGAAGCCAGCGTTGGCTTCCTGCCGATCCGGTGTTCCTCGTATGTCCCCGGGAAGATATCCTCGGTGGGTCGTCAAGCGGCATGTGACCGGCTCCTTGTGGGTCGATTCGAGTTCCTCTCTCCCCAGTGCCGGCATGTAAGCCTAAATCATCCTTTCTTGATTACTATCGCCATTCCCCTTTTCTTGATTCATCGTCCGATCGTTGCCTCAACTTTGTGGGGAAGGTTTGTGATCGGATGGTCATATGATGGTGGTCTGTTGATTGTTTAGGTCGTACGTGTAGTTGCTTAATGCAGTCGGATCGTTTCGCTAACAACCGATCGTTGTCGAATGAACAGGGAATGATCAGCGAACTTCTGTTGTTATCGTGTAACCCTAATTTACATTTTGTCGCGCAATGTTGGAACGAACTCGTGCTCGTCACCAACCTCGGAGATCACTGATACTGGTTTAACAGAGCATAGATGACCAGATAAGTTGTCGATCTCAGGGTAAACCACTTTCTTGTGAGTTCAATGGGGAAGCGGTCTGTTGATGTTGGTCAAGGATTCTAGGATGAAATACCAAAAGTTCTATGAGACGTTCTTTTCATGGGTGGATGCTGTAAACCCCACACTGTTTCTTTGTCTAATTATGCTTTGGTTGAAATATTTTCTCTTAGTCTTGTAGGACTACTTTTGCCATAAACTGATATAAAGTGCATTATGCAAAAGGTCTACAGGAGAATGAAGTTGGAGATTGCTATTGCATGCATTATGCTAGGGCAAAAACTATCATGAAGGTTGCGTGATTTGTGATTCTGCATCCAAACAATGACAACTTCAAAAAGAAGAAATATAACAATGAATATAGTAATATTTTCCTTTATTTACATATGAAAATTCCTGCTGACAATCAGTAGTAGTTCCCTTAAAAATTGACTCTTCTCTTCGTTTCTGTATCAAAAGTAATTCTATTTGTGTGGGCAAGTTTTAGATGAGTGGTGGTGTTTTTTTATTCTGCTGGTTGAGAGGGTGTTAGGTACTTGCGTGGGGAGGTCTGCTCTGGATATTGACTTGGTGCGGATTGGGTTAGGTTTGCAACATGTTAGCCCAAGTCCAACCTAGTTTGATCATGGACTGGCTTTATAGCATGAGCAATACTATGCTTGGAAAAAGGATTATGATTATGACTCATTAATAGTTCAGTTCCATCTACGTGAACTTGCTGGATAAGAGCGGACAAAAGAGAGGGTGGAGAGGGGGTAATTATTGCTATCAAACCTAAAGCAGAACAGCAATGAGATTGCAACTTTTTGTTATTAAACTTTGAGTGGATTGATTCTGCTTGGTCAGGTGCCTTGCTATACAGAATCAATTAACCTAAAATAAACTGACAAACTATTTCTGGGACACACCAAGCTTAATGCTTGGTATGTTACTGAATGTGCCAGTTTTCTCTTATCAATCATAATGTTAGAGGTGAAAAAAGGGGTATAGATAGTAAATTCAATCTTCTCAAATATATTGGTGGTTTCTAATAGAAAGACATGATTTTGATTTAGTGTTTGTAAAAAATATCTCAAAAACTCAACCGTGGGAACTGGAGATGCAGGATGAGGATATGAAGCATTCACAAGAGTTGCTTCTAGTTTCTTGGTACACATGGCAGGTTACGTGTTCGAGAATACTTATTAGGTCAGATCAGGAATATGAGATACTAATGTTGTCCCCTTTGTGAGATTGGAAGGAGGCATTTTGGATGATTTGCTGAGGCATGTCCAGTCATTAGCTTAGTTATCAGTAACATCTAAAATGATTGGAAGATCACACACATTAATGGGCTGAAGTAGCATGATCCAACCAGGCAGACAGACAGTGTTGTATGACATGAACATGACCCAAAAATCATTTGCGTGCTGGATGCACATGCTGGATAGGCTAAGAAGGATCAGATTATTACAGAATTTCGATCAAAATTACAAACCTACGTTTTCAAGTGTCTAAAATATAGAATGTGGGGGTCTTTTACTCTTCTTATTCTTAAATTCATGACAGGTGTGGGTTATTCCATATATGACATTGTGAATTGCATAGTTGCAACATTGGTCTATGAAATACCAAATTATAAAGATACCCTCCTGAATTAAACTTCTTGTAGGAATGGTTTGGGCATTGAACATAGCCTGGTTTGGTGCACAAATTATGTCAAAAATGTAAAGATTACTTTAACATTGATAATGTTTTTTGTATGTCTCTATCTTTATCTTTTATGCTAATCTCATTTTAGATATCTATATTATAAAACAGTAATCCCAAAATAAAATTAGGTAAAGATTGGTTGATTACAAAATTATGCTTCCTATTTAGCTATGCTATATCTTTAATGGCATCGATTCTATTTCATCAATTCTTATCTCTTGTTTTCCAAATGCTGGAATTGTCTTCTTTAGACTGACTTCTGTTTCAATTAATTATTAATTAGTTGCAGATATTTTGGAAATGCATTTAAACATCTAAAGATGATGGAATATATTGTTACAGGGTTGGTTTTGCTTTCTTCTTTTGTAGTTGAGAATGACACCTGAAGTTTGAAAAGTGATGGTTCTACAACTTGTTTTATACGCAGAACTTTTTGGTTGGCTACAATAATTAAATGAAACATTATATCCTTGAACTTGATATGGTATGAACTTATATGGCTACAATAATCAATCTGGTCAATTTTATCATGCTTCTGTCATAACAATAACTTGTACTGAAGAGTCATGTTCAACACGGTAGTATGATATTATTAGTTGCACAAAGTCAAAGATCAATTCATAAAATTAAAAATGGTAGTATGATATTATTAGTTGCACAAAGTCAAAGATCAATACATGAAATTAAAAAAAATCATAAACATCTACTTTGATTGGAGCATGCTGGCATACTTGTAAATTTGCTGGATCCAAGATTCTTGCATGCTTGAACTTAGTTTTTGTTTGTGTAATTTTCTGTCAGTAGAAGAAAAATTATGGAAACCGTCATAAATAAGTCTTGTGTACTTCTGCAATTGCAGAAAAAGAGTTGCAGTTTAGTTGGTTCGCTGGCTTTGCTAAGTAGCTCACTTGTTGCCATCAGAATTTTCCTGTATTTGAAAACCCTGTCAATGTCAGCAAGGAGGTTAGCTGATGATTGCTTTTTAATCGAAGGATGTCCAAGGTGGAGTTTGGTTAGGGGGACTTGTTTGATGCAGACAGCTTGATTCCACAATGATGCCAGATCACAGTGAGGAATGATTCCATCGAGGAATAGATGCAACTCTGTCCATGTGAACCAAATAGAGCTGCATTCGGTCCGTGGATTGGAAAATCACCGATCCTCTTCGAATTGGCTTCTCAAATAAAGTATTTGCAGTGGCTTTCACAGGAAAGGAATATCCTTTTCCTGCACGAATGGGTTGGTGTGGGCCAATCAAACTCCAGGATTTTTGTCTTTTAACACACACTAGTCCGTATGAGTACCTTGAGCAGGATGAGGCGTTTGGTCATGTGTTTCACAGAGGAACTCTGAATGAATGATCCAAAATCGGGTAATTGAAATAAGCAGTCTTCAAATCCTATTCCATTCGCAGATCAATGCTTTTGATTAGCACGATATTTACCATCTTCTTATTATTTTTGATCACGTATATGATGGTGCAGCTTGCTCAAAATAATGTTTCACCCGGGTGTAGGACAGGGTTCATGATGTTTAACATGCCCCGCTTAATCCGTAGTCATGGAAGTATGTTCGAAAAGTTACAGCACCAATGACTAGTCTCTTCGATTTTGATTCTTTACATAGTTATTTTCTCCTATGTTTTTGTGAATTCTATGGAAATGTTTCAGATTCATTCCGGAAGCTCACCGAAAATTTCAAGTGTCGGGACGACATCATCAAGTATTGGATCCTTGCAAACCTGTCATGAGGAATGATTGTACTTGAGGACCTCACAGTGGTAACTTGGTGAAAGGTAGATTTTTTTCTGTAAAGAAGCTAATAAGTTCGCTGAGTATGGAAACCATAAATGTGGCTTTTCAGATGTTTCTTCTGAATTGAATCGGCAGGTCATGATGATGGATGGAGTCGGTGTCCTTGTGAAAGGTGAATCCTTTGACAACAAAGCTAATAGGATAGTTTTGCTGACTAGCATGGCGACTACGGGCGTTGGCATTGAATCGCATCTTCTTTTTTTTCATTTTATAAACAAGAATTGCATAGAAAATATCCAAAGGAAACATCACATAACCTTAGGAGAGTTCGAAACTCGCAGTTAGTTGGACTCGAGAAAAGACACTTGACATAAATATTAATAGAAGATGGTTTTCGTTTAGAGAAAATTGATAATAATAATGCGTTCACAGTTTTGTTTAGTCTTGATCTGGTGATATCATCATGGTTGGCAGATATTTGATAATGCTGTCACATCCTGCTTGGAATTCGATGCTTATCAGATGTACGTGAAGATGGAGAATACATCACCAGAGGTCCAGACTATGTAGAATCAAAAAGCAAGCACTGGTGAGTACATTGTTACACATACTAGTCGCATCACCGAACCAAAATATGGTTGTTATCAGGCACTGCACTAATTCTTCTTTTTATCTTCTTTCCAAGGAAGAAGAAACGAATGGCAGCTGGACTTCGCTGGTGAAGAAGAGGACGATTCACGTGGCGAAGGCTGACATAGACACATATGCACTCACCGTAGACCTTGCCTCTCGGGGTACCACGGTGCAAGGGCACCAAAAAAAAAAAAAAAAATCCAAGGTAAAAGCTTATGTGCAGAAATAATAAAGTGGATCGCCAGGCACCATCACAGAACCTTTGCAGTGCATTCCAACATAACCATGCATGGAATCAGGCAGATGGAGCCTGCAGCCTCCTCTTGCAAATCATTCACTAATACCTACCACATACAGACATCAACATCCAGACAACCATTTATCTTTTCCCTACACTCACTCGTTTGTTTACTGCCCCCGGTGATCCGGAGTCGAATTATTCAACAGTCCCAAGAGATACTCCTTTGATTCCTCCATTTCTTTATCTTTAGCATTATTGTGGCTCATTCATTTTACTAACTCAAATTTCTTTTTTCCTTTTCCTGTGCTCCGATTCTCATCCGCCATGCACCAACCTTCCTCAGGGCTGCGGAGGGTGACATGGATGGATGGATGGATGGATGCGTGCGCGACGGGTCTCTGCCCGCCCCCAGTGATTCGATACGCATTCATCTAGTGGAGTGGCGACGGGGCCCCAATGCCCCCTCCTCCCAAGGCTGAGTGTCCCAATGCGTCTCTCTCCTGACCATCCACCTGATCCTGATTGGACTGCTGCGGTCGGGACGCCTCCACTATCCTACCAGGTAAGCCAGCCACCAGCCTCCTGATACTCCCTAACAATGATTAAAATAATAATAATAATAATAATGATGCCTTCGTGCTCGCTTTTGTCCCAAGTGGCAAATTACGGAAGCTTGTTACTCCATAAACGTCAAGAAGAGAGTTAAATAAAAAAGCTAAATAAGATAAGGCTGCTCTTCACTTATTTACCAGACTGGATGGTGGACAGATCGTAGATAGGCACGCTACATTTTCGAACAGGAGAGAGGACGAGTGGTTAAAAGGTAGGCAAACAAAATTAACACAAACGGAGAAAGAAGGAGAACAGGGCCCGCAGTGTGCCCAGGGCCAAGCCAGCAACCGCGGTCCATTGAACCGCACCCCAACAGGGACCCACAAAGACATGGTGGATCAGTAGAGCAACTAGAGAAGCCATCGGACGGCCGAGCGGCGTTCGAACAGGAGGGAGGGGAAGTTTTGATGATCAGCGGGCGGCGGCGATGGGATCACCGCCGGCGGAGGCGGCGACGCGCCAGGCAGAGGTGGCGATGAGGGGCCGGGTGTGCCAGCCCAGGGTGAGGCAGCCTTCCTTCTCCTCCACCCGATAGCCGTCGCCACCGGCGAAGAGGGCCAGTAGCATGCTGGCCTGCTTGAAGGCATTGGAGCCGATGGCGACGGGGTCGAAGCCTGCGCGGCCCATCCGCACCCGCCACTGAGCCAGCGTCTCGTGCCGCTCCGTCCGCTCCACCCCCTCGCACGACACCACGTTGCAGATCTGCCGCCCCAGGTACACCTCCGAGAACGCTTGGTCCCGCCTCCCTCCACCGCAGGCCGCATCCGCTGCCAAGGCTCCGCCCTCCAGCGAGTCGAACATGGTCGAGTAGTAGTGCAGCGCCTCCGTGAACCGCTCCACGAAGGTCCCTCCGTTGTGGTTAGCTTCCTGCTCCACCACCGTCACGATCCGCGGCTGCACCGCCCGGACCGTACCTAGCACCTTCTCCAGCGCTCCCGGCCGCGCCAGCAGCCCGTGCAGATCGAACACAGAGTTAACCGCCACCGCCTCTGGCTCCTCGTCCTCGCCTCCGTCGCTGCAATCGCTGGTGTTCGGGCCGAGCAGCATGTAAGGCTCCAGGTCCGCGAGGCTGGAGGCCACGAGGCCGCGATAGCGGAAGTCGATACGGATGGTGTCGGCTAGCTCGGCAAGCTTCCGCCCTACCTCCTGCAGGGCGTCCGAGTGATCGGGCTGCGGCGGCCCGATGCCGGTTAGGCGGAACGAGGGCGGGCCACCGGGGCGGAGGGCGAGGGCCTGAAGGAGGGCTGGCCACTGCAGTCCTTGCCGCATCCCGAAGTCGACGACGTGGACGCGGCGGCAGCCGGCGAAGGCCTCGAGGATGGCCTGGTTGGCGGTGAAGTGGGCAAACTTGAGGTAGGGGCTGCTCTCGTAGAAGTGCACGTGGAGTATGTTGTCCAAGGCCGCCGAGTCCTGGGAGGAGCAGCCCACGCCCCGGTGGGGCTGCGGCCGGTAGATGCGGCGAGCGAGGGCCTCGGCGAAGTACCCGGCGACCTTTCGCATCGCGCCGCCCTGGGACGTAGTCAGCACTGTGATCTGCTTCACGAGGGCGTCCGCCGCCTTGAGGCTCTCCTGCTGCACCGCTTCCGCGCACGCCATCAGTGCATGGACGAGGCGGATCCCCGCCTCCTGCGTGTCAACCACCACCACCGGCAACGCCTTGTCCGACTTCGCCGCATCTGTGGTCGAGGATGACGAAGGAGGCGAGCTGCAGACCTTCAACCTCTTCCGATCTCTCGGGGACGGGGCAAGTACAGACTGGGCATCTGATCCGTACACGATCCTACCGGCGGCGGCGTGAGGAGCAGGCAGTGGCTTGAGGTCGTAGTTGTCCGCCAGATGCCGGGGTGCGGTTGGGAGGTCGACGGTGGTGATGGTGGATTGTTCCGGGGCAGCGAGTGGGAGATCAAAATGACGTTGGTGGTGGCGGTTGTGCAACGGGAGGGCGGGTGGTGGTGGTGGCGGCGGCGGGGCCAGAGGGGTAGGAGGTGCGTTAAGCTCCGAAAGGATGTTGTCGACCCATGTGAAGATGTCGGAGGGGTTATAGTGCACGGTGTCGGAGGCGAGGTGGGAGAAGAGAGCGTCATCGTTGGCGGCGGTGCTGCTCCCCATGGCCTTCTCCAGCTGCTCCAGCTTCTGCGCAACGTCGGCCATGTCCGACGACCGGACTTTGTACCCCAGCGCCGCCAGAAGCTCATCGACGCCGCCGTCCTCCTCAGCCCCCATCGTGTCCTTCCCCTTCTCGTGCTCCATCTCCGCTGCCTCGGGTTACCAACTGCCTCCGCCGTCGACGGCGTCTTGATGCTCTCGTTTCATCTCCTCTTTCTTTAAATAGTGATACAGAAAGCTAATCCATCTCTTGTTCTCGTGTGAAAGGGCAAGCTGCGGAGCGAGGGAGGGAAGAGCCAATAAGAGAGAAGCAGGTACTCGGGAGGAAGGGAAGGAGGAGAAAGGGGTGTAGGAAGAAGCTCAGGCACAGGTATAATCAAATAAGCTGCCACCACCAATTAAGCAACCGGCATCCCTCGCCATCCTCTCTCTCTCTCTCTCTCTCTCTCTCTCTCCCCTACTGAACTGATTCCACCTGCTTTCCCCTTTCACTGGGACTTGATAATCCACCAGCGCCGATTATTCTGAATTATAACAGGGAAATCAAAACTATATTTGGGTAATTTTTGCGAGGACAAACCAAGAAAAAAAATAAAGAATCGTACCACCACCACCACTGCTATTTTTATAAAACTTGCCACAGGGCTGCAGAGACCACTGCAAACAACAGCGACGCTACTCGCACCGGACCTTTGGCGTCTGCGTCCAGCATTTCTTCTCCGTGCACGACCCCTGGCGTCCGAGTGTAGGCGAGCTGGAAAACCGTAAAAATTTCTTCCTTTTCGAGGAAGCTAAAAAAGAAAAGCTTACAGTGTTTTTCCTATCCTCACTGCCGACCGGGCAGTAGATAAGTTTTCGTACCTTATCCTTTTCACAAGTTTCCAACTTTCTCATGTGCTCCCCACCCTTTTTTTTTTTTTTTTTAATTTATATAAACGTTATTATTTGTAATCTTTTTAATTATTTATAATCTTATTTCTATTTTTAATTTATTTTTATAAAAATAAACCTAAATATTTTCCCCCTTTTTCTTTTTTTTAAGCTTTCTCCTCTTATCTTTTCTCCTCGTCGGAGGAGAAGGAAGGTGGTAAACGACGATGGCGTTCATAGGGCGACTGCGTCCAGCGGGTTGAAATAAGAGATTATGAAAAAAAAAACAATATTAGGATTATAAATAATTTAAAAAAAATATTTTTTAAGAAATTGTCAGTAGTAAATGATTATGAATAGTAAAAAGAAGACTTTAAACAGTAATATATATATATATATATATATATATATATATATATATATATATATATATATATATATATATATATATATATA